TAATGGTAATAAAGAAAATATGAATTGAAATCGGTCAGTTATGACCTCAATAACTCTACCCGAATCTTTGCTACATCATGATAAAAATGCATTTATCCCTAGTCACACCCTTATGTATAAATATGTCAGTATCTGTAATCATTTGGATTTCAAACATTTTAGGTTGTAAGCAGCTGATGAGAACCTAACGGAGCAAAATGAATTCATATTATTCTGCACCAATCTTTGTTCTTGCTCTCATTAATGGATGTTCTTGTAACAAAAGTGGTGGGATTTCATCACTTCTCTGAGTTTGCCTTTTTATGCACAAGAATAACCGTTTCGGACTAGTTTTACGATCTCTAACTAATTGTTTTTCATACGACTGTCTAGTCTTACTTGTTAAGGCTTTACAGGCATTACTAGTCTTACGATAAATGGATCTGTACTATTCTAAGCCAGGAGAAATGAACATATTTCTGTGCTTTTTCCGACGTCTAAGAAGTTTCTTGACTTGTTTACTGATCCATGGTGGACTGTTATTCGGTCTACGTGGTACCAGGTATGGTATGAACGAGGACGTAACTGGACTAAACTTGCTTCTGAATATAGACTATGCTTCGTCAGCTGAAGAGCTAGTATCTGCTGACCAATCTGTCCTAGTAGCGCACTCCTGAATGGCTGATATATTAGTTCTCCATACATTTGGACGAGGATTAACCTGATCGTACGTCATGTTACTAGCTTTAAACGTTAATGACAAAACAGCATGATTCCTAACGGTGGAAGAATATTTAAGTTAACAATATCCTCAGTCGCATGAGTGATTACCAAGTTCAACGGAGAATATCCTTGGTTTGCACAAAAACGTGTGGGTTTGGATACATGCTATATTAATGTATGCCCCATCAGTGTTATCAGGAACTTACTATCAAAGGAGTTTATAGATCCTTCCGTGGTCATTTCAGTCCAACTAATATCAGGTACATTAAAGTCTAATTATATCAAGCATATGATATTTGCACATCATAGCTTAATGTGCTCTAAAATCAATCATCAGCTCAGTAGACTAGGTTGCGACAGATAACACCGAGTATGAATGTACAACATTTGATAGGGAGGTCACAGCTAATGACCACACAAGTTTCAGCATCATAGGATTCGCGTTCTACCCAAAGTATATGGAAAGCATGGGAAGAGTACACTCTTACATCAAAACGAGAAAGTCAAATATAGGAATTAATCGGAAGAAAATATCCAAAATCTGAAAAACATGTTTCATACAACTAACTGGGAATTATTTACAGATGATTCACTGGAAATCACTACTGATGTTATCACTTGTTACCTTAAATTCTGCTTTGATACTTGTTGTCACACTGAAACTATTTTTGTAAGTTTTGATCGACTTACATCTTCACAACTAAAACGACTACGGAGGGTGAAAGAAAGAATGTACAAAAAAGAAATCTAACGAAGTTCGTAAGCTAAATGGTCTGAAAAACCTAGAGATCAGACGTCTCAACTCTATGTCTACTCAAAAACTCTTGTCTTGCAAAAACTCTCCAAGTATTTGGAGACTCTTTAAAGAACTTACAGGTGACAGATAGTTTACGAGCGACAACCCGCTGAATGCTTGCGACTTAAATAAGTCTTTTGTACATCAGTCATCTTATGTGATGCTACCTTTATCCACAGGTTTAAAGAATAGCTGTGTTCCTAGTTTCACTGAAACTGATGTACGAAGATGTTTCCAGTCGCTGAATTCATTCCGATGTTTGGGACCTGATGGTGTCCCAAACCTACCTTTTGAAAAAATGTGCTGACGTCCTATGTTATCCATTCACGACTATCTTTAACAGATCCTTCTCATCTAACCTCATACCGAAAATGTGGAGAAAGATGAAGATAATACCCGTACCAAAGAAAGTATCTGGTGATAAGAATGTGAAATTTAGACCTATTGTAATAACTTCACCCTTCCTCAAAACCATGGAAAAATTACTAATACTTTCACTTCAGCCTGCGATAAAAGAGCATATTGATCCGTATCCGTTTGCTTACAGATGCAAAAGAAGCACCTTAGATGCTGTTGGTGTTCTGCATCACAATATACTGTTCAACTTAGAAAAGGGTAAGAAGTATGTTCGATGTGCTTTTCTGGACTATACTTCAGCTTTCGATTCTATATCAAGACAACGTCTAATTAACAAGTTAATCAGTGTCAACACTGACAGCTGGATAATCAACTGGCTATGTTCCTACCTCTCTGGAAGGGAATAGTACACTGTATTTGGAGGAAAGTGTCCAGAGTCTCTACTGTCTCATAAAGGTGTACTACAAGGAGCTGTTCTTTCACCTCTTCTTTTCCCTTTTTTTCTGCATGATCTACCATCTTACACAGAAAACACTTTTGCGAAATGTGCGGATGATCTCGCTGTATGTATGCCTATCTTTTCCTCCTCACATCCCACAGAAACGAATGAGTTTTTGTCTCGTATTGATTGTTGGTCTGTTGGTAATGGTCTTATACTCAATCCGTCTACATGTCAAGCTGTTAACTTTAGCATGAAACATGAACGGAATCTAAACACCATTTTGAGATCCCATAATGCTTGTGCCATTGGAGACTCTTTGATAAACATAGCGTCAAAGGTCAATTATCTTGGTGTTACCTTTTCCTCTGATCTGTCTTGGTTTTCCCACGTCTCATTGTTATCGAAGAGGGTTTTCTGTCTGACTTACTACATAAAGAGATTGCATGCTTGGGATTACTCGTCATTTACTCTTACAATTTGTCAATTCTTGCATATTAACTATTATTCTTTACTGTTCCCCATTATTCTTTTCCGGGCTTTTGAGAAAAGACTTTCTTATATTGCGGAGAGTGCTGAAGGCAGTTAGCAAGATGTGTGGTGAATCTTTCGAGGTCACAATTAATATGGTTGTGGATAGATATCTAAAGTCATGCAAACTCCTGGAAGGTGTTATTTTACCACATACTAACCATCCCCTTCAATCATATCTTTCTCCTTGTATATCTTCTGGTAGAACGAGACGTAATTACATTAAAATCCATGCACGCAAGCAAAAGTATAAAAGTTCTATAATACCTTATCTAGCAAATACACTCTGTGACGAACAGGTTGTTAGAGTTAACCTAGTCAATAACCTGCATTCTTAACATGCCTCTAATTTGAAAAGTTGTGCAGTTTTTTCGTTTTTTTCCAAACCCTTTTTTCCTTTTTTGCCTTTGTCACTGTTTTTCTGCTCAAGCAACTTGTTGGAAAACCCTGTGCTGATAATTCTATATTGAATAAGGCCATTAATAATAATAATACCATGATACTATGATTTCCGTGTCAACTCAATTACTATACTAGGTCCTCTCGTATAGTGAGTTACAAGTATTATTTCAACAATTAGTTTTGTTTGGAAATTTCGTGCTCCATGCTCAGGGGCTTTGATATAGATTGGCTTCCAAATGTGATAGCAGGAAAACCCTTCAGAATAGGAATCTTCGCTCCGCTATGACGTCTTTCGTTTACTCAGTCTTGTACAGACTTTCGTTTAATATGGCCTTTGAAACTAAGATCAGTAAGCATTCCTTAAATACAAATCAAGCTTCGTAGGAGAAACGAGTTGTTAAGAAAATACGTTCGTTCCATAGTGTCAGATAAAGATTGTATCCTTATTCTGTGGAACGTATGAGTTCTAATGCCAGGTGTCTTTACGAGTAGTAGCTTGTAAAGTAAAGGTTATAATAGAAGTTTACTTTAGGTTCTTTCGAACTGACAATTATATATGCAACTGACCTAACTTTAAGGTCTGCTATTCTAGGCATTGCTCTAACTTCATCTAAACTTTTGATCTTTTACCCCACTAAAGTTGAGGCTACAACAGTGAAGCTGTGCTTCCAGCCCATCTAACTGTTTTACGACTGGTGACGTTATGCTACTTAGAAAACTCGTGATGACTGGAAGGATTCCACGAGGTTTCCCAAGCTTTTCGAGATCTAGTTCCAGCGTCAGTTGATTCACTTTACAACCAAATACAAGAGGCATACATCTTGTTTGTTACTATCTGTGGTGTTATAACTCTTCTTTTTCGGAAGTAATGGTTCACTTACGAGTCTATCTACACTCCAGTATGGTGCACGCTACTAAAAAGACATGTCTCAAACGAGTCTACCAGACCTGCGAGGCGTGTTCATAAGTAAGCTTGCGGGATCTTCCTTACCCAGTAGAATTGTGTTCCTGCGGACTGAGTACCCCACCATCTCCAGGCTTTAGTCGAATTTTCGATAACTTCACCAACACCTTTGTACAGAGAGATTTCGTTTACTAAAGTGATTCTCGCATAAATCATGACTGTCTCTTTAAACCTTTCGTAGACATCAACAGTCAAGTCAGTGCATTTATTATAGCAGCAGCTATTACGATTATCACATTGCGTTCTATCTTCAACCTGCGAGCAACAGGTTGGTCTGCCACAATGACACTTTGCTCGAAGCATCATCGGTTACAAATAAATAAAACCTGCGTATAAAATGGAAGGTAATGCCAAAAGGACGAAACCCCACCTATAAAGCGACAAAAGACTCAAAATACGTTGATAAAAATGGGAGACAACTAAGTGACTAAACTATTCGCCAAGCCAGCATAATTTAGAGAAAATACTATCAACGGCCTGAGACTAAACCGAAACAAACAGCGAGCGTAAAGAAATCAACCAGTCTATGCAGGCTCATAACAAAGATTTTTGACACAATGGATTTATTGACTTTACTATCAACCTCAATTTTTTGAACTCCCCTAACTTCAAGTTAAAAATTTAAGCCTCTCTGAATTATGTATACATGAAAACATAATGTGTGCACAAGACTAAAGAGCTGTAAAATATCATTTGTAGCTACTAGCTAGATGTTTGAATGTTTCGAATATTGAAACCTTAGTCAGTGTTTTTCAACTCTACTGATTTTTAAGCGCACTTTTCGGCTCTCACGAGATCCTTGCTGTGAAATGAGGTAATCGTTGTGTAGCTTTATTTTATGAACTTTCATCCACAGCAATCTACGCGCTCAAAAGCGTCTGGCCTCGGCTGTATTCGGTTGTGGAAAAAAAAAGATTTGGCTAGATCCCAATGAAACTGCAACCATTCAAAATGCCAACTCGCGTAAAATGATACGAAAGTTGTTTAAAGATAACTTGATTATTCGCAAACCTGTGACAGTCCATTCTCGTTCTCGATGCCGAAAAAACTTGATTGCACGTAGAAAAGGTCGTCACTCGGGAACGGGTAAAAGAAAAGGTACAGCAGATGCGCGTATGCCTCAAAAGGTCCTGTGGATGAGGCGAATGAGAGTTCTTAGGCGTTTACTTAAGCGGTATAGAGAAGCTCACAAAATCGATAAACATCTGTAAGTCCTAATATTAATCATATATTTTAAAGGTACCACTTATTATATCAACAATGCAAAGGGAATCAATTTAAAAATAAAAGGGTTCTCATTGATCATATTCACAAGAAAAAGGCAGAACGTCTCCGAGCAAAACAACTCAGTGATCAGGCAGAAGCATTGCGTCAAAGGAAGCGTGAGTCCCGGATAAACCGTCAGCACAGGCTCGAAGAGCGAAAAAAGGCCGTGATTGAGAGCTTTAATACAGCTGTTGCTAAATCCACAACTCCAGTCGCTCAAAAGCCCACCCCTTCAGTGGAAACTAAACCTAAGGTAGAAGTCAAGCCAGCTCCGGCCCCTGCACCAGCCCCAGTAGTTACACCGACGTCTCAACCGTCTGTTGAAAAGGTAGAAGTCCCAACAAAACCTGCACCTCTCAAAGTGTCGAAAGTTGCACCACCACCGAAAATCCCAACTGCAAAAACTCCTGCAGCTCCACCTAAAATACCTGAGCCTGGTTCAGCCAAGTCAACGTCTTCTAAAAAACCTGCCAAGCGTTAGTGTGAAATAGATTTCAAAATGGTAATATGTCTTTTAAATCATATTCTTGGGTTAGCTTGCAATTATCCGCTATTGTGTCCATCCCTTGATTGTATCATGGAGATACGTTGTCTACATCAAATAAACTCAGGTGTTTGAACGAGTACGGAATTTCGGTAGTATGACTTAAAATACGTGTTATCTCATCTAAGTACTGTAGGAGTTTCTATAATCTTAGTTGTGTATGTTTATGGTCAGGTTTATACAGTGGTTGTATTATATTAGTCCTGAAAATAACAGTATTTTCAACGTAAAAGAATATCGACTTGTGTTTCATGTACGATGTTTGTCAGACGTCTGTGTATGCACACGTGCCAATCTATCCCTGTAAGAAGTCAGTGATTGCCTATCATTGTGACCATCCAATAAAGGTCACAAGTTTTCAGTCACATCTATAATGTGCTTTCTCTAGTACTCATCTGTGATCTGCACCGCGACCTCTGATGTTTGCTCCCAGTTTGGTAAGATGTTGCAATTTGTTAGTTGACGACAATGTGGCTTTATCGTCAAGCTGTTAGGAGCGGTTGTGAAGTTCCGAACGTCTTGTGTCGAAATCTCTAGCAGATACTTGTAACCACTGCAGTTCTTGAAATTCGAATGTTTAAACCTGGGTTTTGTAGTCCGTTAACGATTATTTATTTGCAAGAATAATCTTTTCAGATAATTGAATCAGATGTGCTATCTATATGGCTTCACTTACTTTAGTAATCTCTAGCTACATCACTCCATACTGATCACGCGGGCTATAACACACTAGCTCTGTACTTGAGAAATGAACCGGAACTTCCAGACAATTGTAGGCTAGAATTTGAAAGATTGGTCATGCTGCGAAGAACAGGGACCTGTCATTAGTCTAATTTGAATAAAATAGATTATGGAAAAACGGTTCAAAACAACTTGTTCGTAATACTCTCCATGGAATATGTTGTTTTCGGTGGCAGACCACTCATATCTACTGAAGTACGTTTTGATTTCCGTCTCCGTGGTTGGTTTTAGTTTTTATACTAATTCGTGAAGACAATTGTTCTTCGTGTAAGTCCTTCTAATGGCTAGGTGTACACTCGATACAATCACTTGAATTCCATGCATCATGTACCATCACTACATATTCAAGTATCAAGTATAGCTGCGAGGGTATATGTTATATCCACGGACTAGTTGGGTTGCTCAAACTTATACTGATGAAGGTTTCGAGTAGTTGATACACGTGGACACCTTCGTCACTGTTCATTACTCCACGGACCCACTAATTATCTTTGAGTTACATAACCTTCAGACTACACACATGTAGATGAAAACTCCAGAATCTGCTCACCACTATCAGCTCAATTAGGATTAAGATGTGCTCACTAATCCAGCGAGCTGAATTAGGATAACACGTCTGTTACTATGAATGAATGACGGACTCTTGAAAGACTTATGCAAGCTAAGAAATAATAAACTTATGACCGACTTTAATGACTGTCCAATCTAGTGTCTTGCTTAAACTATCATATAGATTTAACCAGTTTCACTAGAAAAATGCATCCAATGATTGCTAAGAACTTGGTCTCTTGCAAGTAGTGTAACTGCAAAGTACTCAATCCTACGAGGTTAATGATCACATCTGGTTGTGAGCCTTGTAACTTCAATTTGTGGTATATAGATTATGCTGTCAGCTACAACGTAGGACCAGGCACATACATGCATCGGTCCAAGTTGCCATTACCTCATTAGCACAACAACATAAACTCCGAATTCATAAAAGTAGTCACTTAAATGGTAGTAATATATAAAAGGAAGATTGTGTATAAGGTTATAGTACGGGAAGAAAGAATACTATACTGCTAGATTATGCTGTGGACTAAGGTCACTTAAATTTACAATGCAAACACCAATTATTGATTAGTGTTATTTACGTAGTTGGCCAATATTTGTTATCTAATTAAGCATCTTATTCCAAATCGTTTATCTGGTTTCACCCTTCCCTTAATTCCTCAAGTTGAACAGGAGTTTATTGTATGACTCGTTAATGTGATAGTGAATCGCGGAGGTAGAAATGACGTTGAATCCTAATGGCTATATATCAGCAGGAGCAGATCAACGATCTATAGAAGTAACGAGATTTGAATAATAGCACAGTAAGTAATGGCAAGAGAGTCAACATATTTGGTAAAGATTATTGAAGGTCTTAAGTAGTACAATATTTTAGATCTAGAGGTATAAGATTGATCTTCAACACAAATGCCCCGGTGCGACCGAGGGTGGGGAGATTCCACCCTCCCTCTCAAAAAGCTCTCACATGGTCACTGCCACGGAAGTCCTGCTCATTAACGTCTCACAGAGGGGGTGTTTATGAAATTGAGAGGATAAAAAGCGAATGTCTGGTGCTTCAACCGAGTTGGTTGGTGTGGTCGATCCACCTAGGGGAGTTAAAAAACCCTGATTCCAAACTAATGACGTACATAGGCTCCAGGATCCTGACTTACTTATTTGTTTGAACACATAAGTATTGGTACAAGAGAGCAGCAGATATTTATGCGCCACACAAAGCAATGAGAATGGGAACAAAAGAACGAATGTAAGGTGCGTATAAGAAAGCAAAAAAGAACAACAACGACCACAGATTAGTGTATGGTAGTATAATAATGATAATAATAGTAATGGGGGAAACGGAAAGCTACAACCAGAAAGGATTCTTTCAGTTAAGGAAGTTCCAACCCCTTTTTATGAAGAAAGCAAAAGAAGGTTATATCAGGATCGCCACTGGCTTCTATTCTGAGCCATATCTGATAACGTCTCTAGCCACTGTGTTGCACCATCCCTAGAACCCCAACCAGGGAGTCGTGAAGGACCAATAGAAGCCAGTCCTATGCAGCTTTCTTTCATACCACGACATCATGTCATACACTGACCACCTCTCCTCTTTTTCCGACCAGTCCTAGCGTCGGCAAATAATGCGCAACGAGAAATTCTCGAGCAACATTCGAAGAACATGTCAAAGCCACCGAAGTCGATGTTTCAATATGTTGACACCAATTGAATTATCGTCTCTGTGCCCGAACACACGATGCTGAACCTCTGCATTACTAACATGGTGTTGCCACTGGATGTCAGCGATCCTTCGGAGACAACGATGATCGAATACAGAGAGTCGCTTAGTATTCCCAACTCGGAGAGGCCACGTTACACAAGCATAGGGCAATAGTGTTCGTACTGACACATTGTAGATCCGACCTTTTACAGCCAGACTAACATCACGAAGGTGGCAAAGATGGCCCAGATTGGCATAAGCCGCTCTGGCTTTCACTATACGTGAATCGATCTCACCACTCACGCCACCAGCCCTTATGCAGCTACCTAGATGCACGAACTTCTCGACTACTTCTATCTGCTCACTACTCAGGGTGAGTACATAATCAGGGTTCTGCTAGTCTTGTAGAATTCGCACTTGGAAGGTGCAAAGCACATAGCGTACCTACGGGCATTGATTGCCAACTGATTAAGTGCGGATTGCATGGCTTAGGCATCATCGCACAGTAAGACAATATCATCCACATACTCAAGGTCGAGAAGTCTTTCTCCAGGCAACAGATCCACACCGCCACTGCTTACATCCACCAGAGCTGTTTCCAGAATGTCGTCGATGGCAAAGTTGAAGAGGAATGGTGAGATTGGGCAACCCTGTCTAACCCCACTGCTCGAGTAGAACAATGGAGAAAGGTGGTTGTATGGCTTCACTCTACCTGAGGTGTTTGTTTATAGGGCTTTTAGGATGCCAATAAACCTCAGGCACACTCTTCTTCAATGGACAATCCCAGAGAACAGTCCTGTCCAACGAATCGAAGGCAGCCCTGATGTCAAGAAATACTGCGATTGTTGGCCTTTGATAAGTATGGCGGTGTTCTAACATTTGGCGGAGGGTGAAGATATGATCAATACATCCTCGACCAGAACGAAACAGCCTGCTCCTCGCGAGTAAATCTTTCTCGGGTTTTGAACAACCTACGAAGTATGATGGAAGCCAATGGCTTGGACGCAATCGGAAGTAGACTTATCACCCGATAGTTGTTACAGGAACGACGTCAACTCTTTTTGAAGATAGGGACAACTATCGACTCATTCCATGACGTTGGAACATTCTCTAGTTCCCAGACCTTTGTAAACAACGTCGTCAGTCCCTTAGTCAGAAAGTCACCACGATCTTTAAAAAGGGCCGGAGGTAAGTCATCTGGGTCCGGTGATTTGTAGCGTTTCAAGAGTTGGAGTTCCTTGCGGACTTCCACACCATTTGGTGGATCAGTCGTCACAGGCCATGGAGGGCAGGACAATCTGATCGGTATTGCCGAAGCAGCAAGCTGCCATTCGAAGAACTCTTCCCATCGTACAAGACGCCGATGGATGTTAGTGACTAACATCTCGTCATCCTCACAGATTGTTTTGCTCACACAAGACTTCTTACTGCCAGTGGCTCGGATGAGTTGGAAGAGCTTCCGGTAATTACCAGATGCAGCTGCTGCTTCCAGCTTATTAGCACGCTCCGACCACCAGGCTTCTCGGTCCTTACGCAAGCTTTACCCGATTTCATTACGTAACATCCTTCGTTTGTGATCAAACTCACGGTCATCCGGAGTATACCGACGGGTCTCGATGAGTTGTAGAAAGCCTGAGGGGACCCAGTGCTTATAAGCGGGACGTTTCGCGAAGCCGCCAACGGCTATACTCTTCATTTCCATGGCGTCATGCAGCTGCCACCAATACTCATCTATACTTTTCGGTGGGATGGTAACTAACCTAGAACCTAGCTCGATTTGATACTTAGTTGCAACAGAAGCTGCAATCAATTTACTGACATCCATCCTTTGGTGACGGTCACTTCGTTGGCCACTGAAAAGTAAGATTGGCACATACCAGGGCCTGATCAGAGTCCAGATAGGTACTCTGAAAAGTGACGGTTTTGTACACAACCACGACAGCAGTGGGTGATCGCGATGTGATCAATC